ACAAGCTAAAATCTCTAGTGATATTAGTGTGTTCTGTTGCAGTGAGTGGTTCCACCTTCCTTATGTAGGAGTGTTGAAAAGAAAGCTAGAACTGATTCAAAGATAATGATTTATAAAGATGGTGTAGAACCCAGAATCAGACCAAACACACCACCTACCCCCACTTACCTTCAGTGTTCTAAACGCGCATCCCAGCCTCCTCTGCTCTGTAACTCTAGATTTGGAGCCTCTGACCTACCACTTGTTCTTCTGTTGGCTCCTGGCCTTGTCTGAGAATTTTCCAGTTAAACTCACTCACCATAACATTTTAAACTTACCATGATTTCACTCCAATCCTCTTCCACTTGGATAACTGTATCCTTGGGTGCTTCAGGTAACAGCCCTTCTGGTTTTAATGACTAACTTAAACCCAGCCAGAAATTTTCTATGATTGAAAGGTGATTCATAAGCTATCTGGCTAGATAGAAACAAGGTCAAGATTTGGGGAAATCCTTGAGATCTATTGGGCCACAGGTACGTTTAAAGATGGAAAAGCAGGGGCTGGAGAGATGGCTGTTACTATGAGCATCTGCTATCCTTCCAGGGGACCCCAGTTCACTTCCAGAGCCCATGTTCTGCAACCCACAACTTCCTATAACCCCCAGTTCTAGGCCTCTCGCCCCTGTGGGTACTCATGTGCACATGCCCACATGCTGATAAATAAACATAATTTAAAAGAAAAAAGAAATGAAGTTAAACACGAAGAGCCAAGGTAGAGGGGTAGTGTGAAATAAAAGCACTGTGGTCAAAAGAGAAACCGAACCATTCTGAGACTCCCCCGAGGGCAGTGTAAACTCCGATGATAAACGGGAGAAGCACATTCAATAGAGGTATAGATGGGATGGAAGTCCTGCAGGAGAGACAGGGAAAGCACCACGAACCCCTGGTAAAGGAGTTTCTGGTCGGTTTCTTTGGGAGGCAGGCAATGGACAGACAGTTACTCATTAGTGGTAGCAGCAAAACAGTGCATGTGAACCCTCACACAGAACATCTGCTTAAGAATTATTCAAGAACCAGGTGTAGTGGTATGCGCCTTTAATCCCAGCCCTGGGGGTGGGGGCAGGGACAGGTGGATCTCTGAGTTTGAGGCCAGCCTGGTCTGTTTCAGGAGAGCCAGGGCTACACAGTGAAACCCTGACTAGAACAAACAAACAAACAAAACCCCCCAAACACTTCAAAAATGCAAAAAGAGGGGCTGGAGAGTTGGCTCAATGGTTAAGGACATTTGCTGTTCTTGCAAAGGACCCAGGTTCAATTCCCAGCACCCATATGGCAGTTCACCGCTTCCTCAGGGACCAGGCATGTATGTGGTACACTGACTGACATACATACACTCAAACCACTCATAAAATAAGATAAAATTTTAAAATGCAGAAAGAACTCTCTGGGAGCTGTCTTGGAGGACCTAGGTCAGAATATCTTTTCTAAAAAAAAAAAGAAAGAAAAGAAAACAAAAAGCCAACTGGCATGTCTCCTATTTCCTATCACGAAGGGCAATCTGGGTCAGTGCTGAGAGATGGTCCCTCAAAGCCTGCCAGGCAGATTTTTTTCCCTAAAGTGACCTGAGCCTGTCTGTGGAAAAGTACAAGTTCTCCACTGGTCATGATACAAGTCACTAATGAATCTCCAGGGAACTTTTTTCCAGGCACCTTCCAACCTAATTGTAAGATTGTCATATATTTGGGGTGTGTGTGTGTCATGCTTAGATTCTAAAAATAAGGTAATTTTAATTGGTGACAACAGATAGATGGGACACAGTGTTATATGTGAGAGTTCTGAGAAATCAAAGCAACTGCCCATCTCCACTACGTTAGACAGTGTTACTTTAGTAAAATGGTATGGGATTTTCTCATTATTAAAACAAAAACATACCACCAAAAACTCAGTTCCTCAAAGCCCTCCCTTCTGCTCCTCTGCATTCACAGAGACACTTCAAGGAACATGTATGACATAGCATGTGCCTGAAGTGGACAGGCCCCTCTGCTGCCAGAAGATAACCACAGTATGGTGGTCTGATGCCAGGACCAACTTTATCTCTTTCAGCCACCTGCGGCTCAGTCAACCAGACGTGAGAGTGCTAAAAAATTTTAGAGACGGACAAGCACTAAATATTGTTAAACTATTACTACTAAACATTAATCAACAACACAAGATGAATCGACACGTTAATGTGTCGTTCTGGTGATTTCATTTGAACTTGCTATCATCTTCTGCAGAAATAATGGAAACTTTTCTGCAGGGCAATTTTACATCAAGAACAGAAAACAATAATTCTTTAATTTACTCTACGGATATGAAAATGCCAAGATAGATGCATAAATATGTTCATTGTGGAGCTGGCAATGTGGCTCACTGGCAGAGCATTTGCCTAGC